CCCCGTACCTAAGGGTTAAGTATCGTGATAATCAGTAACCGAGGTTACCTCCGGCCAAATCTTTAAACAAATTAATAAATGCAAGCGGAAGAAATATTTAAATAAGGGTACTAAAATAATCATTGGAGCGTCTATTTTTATTACAAAATGTATTGACCAAAAAGACCGATATTTACATAAAAAATATACATCAATAAAAGGTGCTTTGTGCCTACCCTACACGCTGATTCCGACATGTCACCTGAAAGTTGTAAAAAAACTATAAGCTCATGGCAGAGTGAGAAATATTATACCAAAAGTATAAGGCATAAAATTCACCATGGATAATTAGTTAGGCCAAAAAGAGCTTGATACATATAATACGAAAAGCATTTGATATATACTTCAGATCATTTAACATGTAATACGGAAATCATTTGACATATACTTGTAGTACGGAAATCACTATACAACCATAACCACGGTACATCACTAAGTGCTAGGCACTACATTGGTCAATGGATCCACGACAAACACTGGACCACAAAGTGATCAATCACTAAGCCTATGGTTATTTAAGTCCCCCAAGGCATGGGACTCACTAAGCCAATGGTTATTTAAGTCCCGCAAGACATACGACTCCCGTGGTAGTACTTACAAAACATATTTTCATATAAGGTCATAGCCAAATATCCTTTAAAAGTAAAACAGATATATCCATGGATTTCCTTTTAAGCAAATAGGGTTCAGAAGATAAACCATGTAACTGAAATCTTTATAAAACATAACTTTTATAAATATACTAATAAAAGATAACTTGTATAAAATAAATTTTGGTAAGTTAAAACATACGTAAAATACATTTTGGAGACTCAAGGTATAATATAACTTACCTTAACTTTAATACCTTACTCTTTCTTTCCACTATCAAAGACCCTTTTAGCTTCCACTATTCTTTCCTTTCTTTCTCTCTTTCCTTTCTCTCTCTCTTTCTTTCTTCTTTCTTTCTCCCCTTTTAAGTCAACTTCTCCCCCATTTATACAGAAGGCAGCCGTGGGCACCAAGCCACAGGCTGCCGCGTGTCACACCTCAATTCTTTATCATTAATTCGTTCTTATCTTTAATAGATATTTAAAATAATTAGACCTAATATTTTAATATAATTATATAAATTAATTAATTCTTAATTAAATTACACATTATCACATATTAACAGAAAATTAATTATTTATTTTATTATTATGTCCATTATTATTATTATTATTATTATATTTTGATCCCTAAACTTTTAATAATTATATTTTTTTTACAAAATTATGCATAATAATATATAATAAATTATATATTTTTCGAACTGAAATTAAATAATATTAGTATAAATTCTACCGAATAATTAAAAATCTGGGTTGTTACAATCTTCCCTCATTTTAAAATTTCGTCCTCGAAATTTGTCATATGTAAGCTAAAATAATATTAGTATAAATTTTACAGAATAATTAAAAATTTGGGTTGTTACAATCTTCCCTCCTTTTAAAATTTCGTCCTCGAAATTTGTTATATGGACAAACTATCTGCTGCGCACTCTGATAAATATGTATTAGATGATTAATCTGATAGAAATAGTACCTCAAAAAAAAAAAAAACTTTACCAAAAACCACTCACTGTTTACTTGTCAAAAATTAGTTTGGGCCAAAATGAGAATTAATGGGTGATTTTAAAAAAAACTTTTCACTCGTATTGTTCACGATAAAAATAAATAAAACGAGACCACAATGACAGAATCATATGTAAGAGTTGAAAAAAAATTTGAGATGAACTTTTCATTGATCGGAAATAATTTCAAAATGTGTATTTTTTTTTAAATTTGAAACCCACTTTTAAAAAGTCGAAATAAAATTTTTTTTGACTACTGAACTGAAAATTATATGTATTTAATTATATTATAATTTTTTTGTGGGTGTTTGACATCTTTTGTTTTTTTTTTCATTCGTAAATTATATTTAATATCCTTCACAAATTATGCACACAAAAAAAATTTAATATATATATAGAAAATCATAGAAAATTATAATATAACTAAATCGACGAACTAAATATAATATTTAGGTACTAATTACCCGCTATCTCACTTCTTAATGTGTATGTGTCCTATGCTCTAATAATATTTTTTTTTTATAAACCATTGCTCTGATACCATTTGTCACGACCCGCTTCCCGTACCCAATGGTTAAATATCTTTGTCACGACCCGCTCCCCGTACCCAAGGGTTAAGTATCGTGATGGCCAGTAACCGAGGTTACTTCCGGCCAAATCTTTAAACAAATTAATAAACGCAAGCGAAAGAAATATTTAAATAAGGATACTAAAATAATCATTGGAGCGTCTAAATGTATTAACCAAAAACGCCGATATTTACATAAAAAATATACATCAATAAAAGGTGCTTTGTGCCTACCCCACACGCTAGTTCCGACATGTCACCTGAAAGTGGTAAAAAAACTATAAGCTCATGACAGAGTGAGAAATATTATACCAAGAGTATAAGCCATAAAATTCACCATGGATAATTAGTTAGGCCAAAAAGAGCTTGATACATATAATACGAAAAGTATTTGATATATACTTTAGATCATTTAACATGTAATACGAAAATCATTTGATATATACTTGCAATACGGAAATCACTATACAACCATAACCACAATACATCACTAAGTGCCAAGCACTACACTGGTCAATGGATCCACGACAAACACTGGACCACAAAGTGATCAATCACTAAGCCCATGGTTATTTAAGTTCCCCAAGGCATGGGGCTCACTAAGCCAATGGTTATTTAAGTCCCTCAAGGCATGGGACTCTCGTGGTGGTACTTACAAAACATATTTTCATATAAGGTCATAGCAAAATATTCTTTAAAAGTAAAACAGACATATCCATGGGTTTCCTTTTAAGCAAATAGGGTTCAGAAGATAAATCACGTAACTGAAATCTTTATAAAACATAACTTTTATAAATATACTAATAAAAGATAACTTGTATAAAATAAATTTTGGTAAGTTAAAATATACGTAAAATATATTTTGGAGACTCAAGGTATAATATAAGTTACTTTAACTTTAATACCTTACTCTTTCTTTTCACTATGAAAGACCCTTTTAGCTTCTACTATTCCTTGCTTCCTTTCCTCTCTTTTCTCTCTTTCCTTTCCTTCTCTCTTTCATTCTTCTTTCTTTTCTTCTTTCTTTCTCCCCTTTTTTAGTCAACTTCTCCCCCATTTATACAAAGGCAGCCGTGGACACCAAGCCACGGGCTGTCACGTGTCACACCCCCATTCACTTATCATTAATTTGTTCTTATCTTTAATAGATATTTAAGATAATTATATTTTGATCTAATATTTTAATATAATTATATAAATTAATTAATTCTTAATTAAATTACACATTATCACATACTAACAGAAAATTAATTAATTATTTTATTATTATGTCTATTATTATTATTATTATTTATATTTTGACCCCTAAACTTTTAATAATTATATTATTTTACAAAATTACACATAATAATATATAATAAATTATATATTTTCTGAACTAAGATTAAATAATATTAGTATAAAATTTACAGAATAATTAAAAATTTGAGTTGTTACACATTGCCTACGTAATGGTTGGCTCTTCATCCTGTTTGAGGTTTGTGAGTTTTTTTAAAATTTTTTTTTAAAAAAAAATTAGGATTATATATTTAGATCCACGAGATGAATAAAAAAAATTAAAATTAAAAAAAGAAAAAAGAGGTCTAGAAAAATAAAAGTTAAAAAATGGTAAATGGTAAACTTTTTTTTGACTTACTTGAAAAAAATCAAAAAAAACTTTACTTTTTAAATTTGTCTTAGATCTATGGTGCTGTTCGACCAGTAAAGATCCATCACGAGTCTCATTTTATTAATTTGAACCATTGAATGTGTAGAATTTATCGAGTATTATATGTCAGTAAAAAAATTATGTTGATCGAATATCGATAGTTATGTAATCAAATCAATTTTGTATAAAAAAATGAACGGTAAACAAATTAACAATTGATAAAAAATTGATTCAATGAGATAGACATCGATATTCGACTAACATAATTTTTTACAGACATAACTCAACAAATTTTATATATTAAATAATTTAAATTATCAAAATGAAATTTATGATGAATCCATAGATCCAATAAGATTTTGAAATATAACATATATATCAACAAACTGCTTGCTAAAAAAAAAAAAAAAAAATAGTATTAAGACCGACACCGTAATGCGGCATCGTTTAATAAATTGCAGATCCTGTCTCACAACAGATACCCCGTACCCAAACCGGCAACCTTCACAATCGCTGATCATTATCCACATAACTGCCACACTTTTAATAATGGAAAATGTTATAGGTCCTAGATATAATTATATTAAAAATTTTAAATAATTAATTAAATTTTTTATCAAAATTCTTATATAGACGTAAAATTCACATATAAGTTCACACTCATATAAAAAGTTTAATAAAGAATTTGATAAATTATTTAAAATTCATAATATTTTCTCCCTAAATAATTTATTAATTTTTTTAATCAAAATTCTTATATAAGTATAGAATGCACACAAATATATATATATATATATGTGTGTGTAAATCTCACACTTGTAAAATGTTTAATAAATTATTTGAGATATCTAAGTGTAACAGGTAATAATTAACAACTATAAAATCCATTAAATAACACCCATTAATTAACAATTATAAAATTTATTAGAAAAATAAGTGAGAGTACTAATTAGTACTATCATTAATGATGTGACAGTGGACCTCAACAGGAATGATTTGATATTTTGACTTTGATGTTTTATTTTTTTTTATTTTTGACTTTGATGTTATATTTTTTTTTATTGAATATCATATAATTAGTGATCTTTTTAGAACTCCAAAATAAATAGTATCTATAGTTGTTAAACTCATTAAATAGCACACCACCTTCCCAATAATTACAGCTCTCTCTCTCTTTTCCATTTTCTTCATCGCTCAAGTCTCGAAATCTCCGCACTGTTTCAACAATGGCGAGGGGCACATCGCAATCCCAATCATCCTCCTCCTCCAACACCCGCCCCGGCCCAGTCGCCGGCATGGCTCCCCGCGGCTCCGCCGCCGCCACCGCCGGTATGCGTCGCCGCCGCCTCGGCTCCTCCTCCTCCTCCTCCGCTGGTGGCTCCGCTGGATTCAACGGCGGCGGCACCGGAAGCAACGTCCTCAGGTTCTACACCGACGACGCCCCAGGCCTCAAGATCAGCCCGACCGTCGTCCTCGTCATGAGCCTCTGCTTCATCGGCTTCGTCACCGCTCTCCACGTCTTCGGCAAGCTCTACCGCTACCGATCTGGTGCTCCCGGAGCTTGATTGATTACTCTGACCTCGATCGTCCGAGTTCGGATCCCTCGGTAATTGGTAACGCCACGAATTTTTGTTCTGTAAACTTTTTTCTCTAGGGTTTTATTGTGTTGAATTTGGATTTCATTTGATTTTGTTTTGGACGAGAGATAAAAGAGGATCTTAGTTTTGAATGAACTTGTTGTTTTGATCATTGGAGGTGATGAAGCTTTCTTGATCATATCTCTAATCGACAAGGTTTGACATTCTTTAATTCGCTTGGATTAATAAGAGCTTGCTAACTATGGTTTTCAATCTTTATTGATTGAGCAGTATTTAACAAAATTGTGTGTGGATTTGTGGTTGCTAGGTTATCCAAAACCTAAAAGGGAATGAATAGATTGTGATAAATGATAATGTGAAAGTCAACTGGTTTGTTTGTGTATTGATATGGAGTATCCTTATGTTCCAATCAAGATAAAAATATTTGTGCAGAACCATGAGACTAGGATATGAACTGGACATGCTTTTTAAGTGTCTTGTAGTATGTTTTTTTCCTGTGTTTTGGATTTCGTGTGTGCTTACATTTTCTCTTGCACAAGAAGATCATTCAGAATATATTTGGAAAGATTTTCGTTGGGTAGAAACTGTTGTATAAAGAAAATTTGAGCACCAACTAAAATTTTGAGAATAATCCGAAGTGTTTTATGATGTAAATGGCATTTGTATACTTGGTTTCCTAGGTAACATTTAATTGATTGCTAAATATTATAGTTCGTCTAGCCTAAGTAAATGCCCATGCATAAGAAGTTGTTCTGACTGCTGAGTTTTATGGTGATAATTACTTAAATTTCCAAGAAAAAAGAAAAATTAATTGTCAGGGTTGGTTATAAATTCTTCAAATTGATCTCTCATCATAAATAAATTCTTTAATTAAGCTTTTACATTCAATATTATCTCCACTCATTACTGGAATATTCTCATGATACTTTTCATTTCTACAGATTGATAGTTTGTTAGTTTTTGGTTTGTGGGACTGTTAGCTTTTCATGTTCCTTCAATATTTTTTTCATGGGATTTTAATTTTTGCCGGATGATTTGCTGCTTTGTTACCATGTCATCTTAATTGATAGTCACATCTAGATGTTATTCCATCATTTTATATCAATATTTAGTTCCTTGAATGTAAGGCCTACCTCAATGTTTATTTTTTAACTTAAATTATATATACAGAGCAACCATTTTTGTGGATAGGTAGCCTCTATGGCATGCTGTCTAGCATGAAAATGATAGTTTGCTACAATATGTGAAAATGATCATATTACCTAGAGTTAAATGCCTAAATCCATCTTGTCTTAATTGATCGCTTTAGCTTATGAATATCATCGTGTTCCCTCAATATCTTGAGGTAGGACTTCAGATTGTTATGATCCGTGGACAATATTGTCTGAATGTACATTATGAATGTCGTGGTATGTTACCACATTGTAGGATCTTGTGGGTAGTTACCATATTGCATCCCTTCATGATTGTCTCAATAATAAGGGCTTATGAGCCTAGATTCATTATACTGCCCTAATCTATGAGAACTCAATAATACATTGTTGGTTTTTATCTAACTTACCTTAGGTGGTGATAGTCAAAACACATTGCTTGGTAGGAGAAATTGGACTTTAAATTACATAGTTGCTTCAATATCCAGTTTGGTGAAATTGGACTTTAAATCACATCAATGTGTTTGATTTTAATTTTTTGAATTTAATTTTCTGAAAATTGAGTATTTTAGTTTTTCCCTTTTTTTAAATTTTTTGTTTTTAGTGAATATTTTTAAAATTTTAAACAATTTTTATATTTTTTTAGATGCACTTTACTTAGATGTATCTAAAAAGTAAAATATTTGTAAAAAAATATTTTAAAAAATCAATAAATACACAAGAATATAAAAATGTATTGAATTTTTGTATTTTTGGTATGTAGTGAATTTTGTAAAGATTTTTTTCATAAATATTATATTTTTTAAGTATATTTATGTTAGGTGTATCTAAAAATTAAAAAAAATTACTTAAAATATGAAAAAAAATCAGTAAAAACAAAAAAATAAAAAAAAATAAAAAACTTAAATTTTCTAAAAAATAAATCCCGAGTTATGTAACCAACCAAGCTATTGTTGCTTTAATATCCAGTTTGGTAGGACCATGTCCACAATGTTGCTTCCACACATAGTTATCTTGATAGTGAATTACTTGCTTCGCAATAATGTCAAAAGCTTTGGCTATTACATTATACAAGAAATTTCCCATGTCAAAGCGCTCATTTTACCTAAATACTATTAATTTTATAGAATGCCACGTCAACAACAAAGATGGAGGGAAATGATCCTAATGATTGAATACATTTTGCCTAGCGTTGAAGGCTAGCTACATGTAGCTAGTGAATATGAGTTGAGCCAAAATGCCTAATCATATGCCTAATGCGTTGGAATTGAAAAAAGTGAATCACATTAGGCATTTTAACTAACAAGTATTGTATGCTTAGTGCATTGGAGATGCTCTTATGTAACCAACCAAGCTATTGTTGCTTTAATATCCAGTTTGGTAGGACCATGTCCACAATGTTGCTTCACACATAGTTATCTTGATAGTGAATTACTTGCTTCGCAATAATGTCAAAAGCTTTGGCTATTACATTATACAAGAAATTTCCCATGTCAAAGCGCTCATTTTACCTTGCTCAGTCTGAATGCTTTCCTTGTTTAAGGGAATTTCCTTGTCTCTTTGGGGTAGTGAAAGTGTCCCCAGTTTGAAGTGCTACCACCTCATCAGGTTCTTGGCTGGCCTACTCTTTTCCATTAATTGACCTCCTAGGTATCCGGTATGAATTCCATGTAATTTGCATCAAGCTGAAAGTTGGTTTTTTTAATCTCAGATCTTTCGGCACATAATCTGAGCTACCTTAAACTTGGATCTTTCCGGTATGTCGAATGGTAACACAATACGCCACATGTTTTAAAATGTGGTAGGATAAGAGTAGACGTATGTAGATTATACTATAAGAATTTCAATATTTTATAGTAATTTTCTTTTACAAAATAGACATCCAATAAAATATAGAATTTTTTTTTCTTTTTCAAATTAATCATGTAGCAACATATTTCTGCAGCATTATTATTCGTTTGTTACTATTCATTTGTGACGTTTTGTCCCATCAAAGCTTTACTCATCTTAAATTTTAATTCATTATATTTGGTTTTGTTTACTCCCTTTATGAAATATATTAGGAAAGGTTTTTGGGATTGCTCTGGATTGTTAAATTTACCATTTTGGAATAACGTGTACAATGTTTCAAAACTCGCATTCCAAAACATAATTCGGAAGGGTAGTAGCTTTTTTTTGGTAACACCGGTCTCATTCATTTTTAGTTTCTTTCAAATTCGTTTCTCATGGAGGGAGTTAAAAATATTGGTAAAGATGAAAATATTGATAAAGACATGACATTACATAGAGATATCTGTCTATATTAATGGTGAATCTATGTCAGATTTTTGTAAATTATTAGTGTTCTTTTTTTTTTTTTTTTTTTTTTTTTTTTTGTGTTGGGGGGGGGGGGGGGGGGTGTTGTTTTGGCAATATTTGGGTATTTGTTCCTTGACAGTGGTTCCTAATTTGATTTTGTGTCATTTTTTTACCTTGATAGTGCTTCCTAATTTGATTGTGTCATTTTTTTTAGATTGAAACTCTTGAGTCATTAAATATGACTTTGAGAATTGGTTATTGTTGAAAAAATATATAAAAATTCTGCTTAACAAATTGAGATAGATATAAGAAGATAAAAGTAGAATAAAAATAAAGAAATAATTTAACCGAGGCGCGGAAGTCAATCCGCTATCCTTAAGAAATGATTTCGCCCTACTTGGTACAAATAGTTGCTAGTGGTCGTTTTTCAGGATATAATGGCGAGTTTTGATGATGTGCATTCACTAAGTAAGACTTGAATTGTAACGAATTGAATCAAATTGAATTTATTTATTTATTATTTTTTTCAATATTTGTGTAGTAATTTTTTTTTAAATGTGTTTGTGGGTTCGGATATTGATTGGAGTTGGATTGGTATGAATTTCCAAATCGTTTGATTTTTTAGTTGTTATTATTATAGTTGTGGAGTCGTGGACCATTCTATTTAAATTGGTAGAAATAAATTATATTACCTTTTGATTTTGATTTCGTAAGAGCCGCTTAACAAATTTTTTGAGTTTTAATTATTCTTGGGTCTTAAATATTAAATGAGATATAAATTTAATTTTTGGGACTTATTTGATTAGTCCATACTTAATCATTTTGGTTCATGTTTAATTATGTGAATGGTGGGGACCATCTTAAGTCTTTTAAAATTTATTTATATTTTAATTTCAGTTGGAGATTTATTTTAAATTATTAAACTCCATTCATTTTAGACCTAATTGATTGAATCATGACTCGTTTGTAACTATGTATTATTGTTGTTATTGTTATTATTATTTATTTTATAATCTTGAGAGAATTACAAATATTTATGGTGTGCACTATCAAATGAAATATATTTTGTGATGATAAAAATATTGTATCATTTTTGTCATTAATAATGTTGAAACATATTTTTAATTGATATATATATATATATATAGATATATATGTATAGATAGATATTTATATTGATAAAAAAATAAAAATGAAAACAAAAATATTATTAAATTGAATCAAGGAGGCAGACCCACGTGGGTGCTGCTCTCCTCATTCCCTTATTCCTTCTTTCTTCTTCTTTGCTGCTTTTACTTCTCTCTCGGCTCTCGGTTCTCTTTCTCGGAATTTTTTTTTTTATCTGTTACATTTATCATATAAAATTTTTGATCTATCAAAATCTATTAGGTTTTAAACCATAGTTCTTAAGATCAAAGTGAAAAGCTTGGTGAGAGCAACATTTTGATCGGTGGAGATCAAAATTCAACAAAGTTGAAAATGGAGATTTTTTGCTTGTTTCGTCTTTTAGCTTTTGAGGTAGGAATTTTCTAAATATTGTCTATGCGTTTTAGCTTTATTATGTGTTATTTTAATAGTGTGATATTTGAAAAGATTAGAGTTTTATTAATGGTATATTAAATGTATAAAAGGGGGGAAGTTCTCAACTTTTTTTAAAAAATCCATTGCTAGTTGTGATTGGTTTTTCTATGACTCACGAATGCTAAAAAATGTATTTTATTCTATTTTATTTTATTTTTGAGAAACCCTCAAATTTTAATAAAATCTAGAAATTTAAATGTTAAGATTTAGATTTTTGGGATGAGTTTGTGAAAAGCTTACAAGAGTTAAAAATATATGTTTATTTAAACAAATGAGAATTTGAAAGTACATGTTTATAGGGATGAGATTGATGAAAATATTGTCGGGAATATTGAAAACCATTGAGTTTTCTTTTGAAAATTGTTAAGTTTGAAAATATTGAACTTTTGAAAAAGATGAGAATATTTGTCATGTTGAGGTATTAAGAATTGTTGAAAAAAAAGTATATTATTTTTGGCATTATGAAAATTCTTGATGAATTCTTGAGTTTGAATAAAAAGGGAAGATTGATGAATATTTTTTTTTTTCAAAGAATATTATGATTCTTGATTGAGTTAGGAAAGAGGAGATTGAACATGTGATTGTTACTCTTATATTGAAATGATTGAAAATATGAGATTATGAGTTATGTTGGTCTCTTGAAATTTATATTTTCTATAGAGATAATTGTTTGGGCAATCGTGGAGGGTTGTATTGATTATTTGTAGAAATTGCATGTGTAATAGATAAATTGAAATGTTTGTAAATTCATGCATGGTATTAAACATTACATAATCTCATGATTTAATTCTTGCATTGGATTTGAGAAATTGATTTTTAAATTGATTCATTGAGAATATTTAAAATATGTTGAGTTATGGGGTAAATATGTCTGGTAAATCCAGATAGAGAGTGTAGATTTATATTGTTTAAGTTGGCCTGAGTGTCCAGTGCGAAAGACCGAAAACACGCTCAGAGGAGGTACCACTTCCCTTCCGGTTAGCAGCTGATAAAATGGGGTTTTGATGGTACTAGTTATGCCTATTTGTAGATACCAACCTAGGGATTTCTAGTGTCGTATTTACCGCCTTTTGTTCCATGAAATGGATGATTGAATTGGTTATACTTTTAAACAAATGCATGGCATGAGAATTTCGAAAATGAGAAAACTTATGATTTTTGACATTGACATCTCATATGCATTGCACCTCATGATATTATTAAACTGCATGCACTTTATTTAGATTATCTCTGCTGGGCTTTATGCCCATCCCTTAATGGAAACCATTTTTCAGGTGATTGTGGTGTGCCTCTGCCAAAGTGAAGGTGTGGAGGATCTTTTGGAGCACAAGGCTCAATTATTTATTTGTTTTGTTTTCTTTGCAAGCCAAGGGTTATCTATGTATGGGTTTGAAAATCACTTTGTTGTAATCGGGCAAAGCCTTGGAACTTGTAGCCGTTAAGACATTAATTTGTATTTTGTTGCTTTAACTTGTTATTATTACATGCTATAAAATTTATATATTAAGGATAATGAACGTATTAATGCAAACGGTCTCTCTTTTGTGAAATCTCATGTTGGATATTGTTAATAGAAAAATGGTGATTTAGTATGAATGTTGACTATTGAAATGTCGATATTATTCAATGTTCTTGTATGTAATAATGGGAAGTAATGAGATTTAGATTATGCCTGTGAGTTAATCTAGATATATTAGATGCCAATATTCTGGGGGTGTTACATGAACTCGTTTAAGAAATAATCCAAAAAAACCAAGAAATTATGTGGAAAAAACAAAGAAGAAGAGATAACTTTTTCTATATTACTAAACTACTAGTAATACGTATATATATAATTCTAAGACTGAAAGTAAGGTAAGAATAAATAAGGATTTGATCAAACAAATCCCTTGAATTATGAATCAGTCAAATCCCTTGAATTATGAAACAGCTAGTTAATTCTTTAATCATAGTTAATTACAAAAGGAAATGAATCTTACAGAAAATCAATGAGAGGAAAATATATATATATATACATATATATATTATGCTATGGGCCATATGTGTGAAGCCCATAAACATATATATATACATATATATATTGTATTAGCTCACACGCGCACTCAGCTCAATCTAAGTCCAACCTGCATGCGTGTATATATATATATATATATACTACTATATCACTCGTGCTATGAACGAGATTAGATTTAAAAAAGTTATTTATGATTATGTCAAACATATTTTTAAATTGTTAGTATAAAATATACATAATTTTGAAAGAAAATGTTGACATTTCATAATTGAAGTAATAAAAATAAAAATTTATTACATTAATTCGAAATTCATTAAATAAATAAAATATATTATAACTAAATATAAATTGTTGTGGGTCTTCTATTAGCATTCATGTATTATCAACATAATAGTTAGTACTATAATTGATAAACAACACATATATTATGTATTTATAATATATTATAAAGTAAAAATGTTATACTTACTATATATATATATATATATATATATTACCTTTTAAAAGGTATAGACATTCTTCAGACTAATCAATATTTAAGATAAAAGTATAGACATTTATTTTTTAACAGAAAAATAAAAACATACAAATAATCCCGTGCATAATATGGGCGATATGGTAGTTAATATTTATATTGTGAAAGAGAAGGTTAAATAATCTATTACTTGATTGAATAAGTTTTTAAAAACGACAATTTAATGGTAGACAAACAAAATCAACCACTAGCATAAATTAAACTCATATCACATATAAATAATTTATATCTATATTGTAGCTTTATGACATAAATAGGGTGCATTGGCTACTATTCACGCAGTTAGTAAAATTCATGACACATCAGTATTGCAAAATATTTATAATATCAAGAATGTCACTTAAAATACACAAAGGGAAAAAAGAAAGAAAGAAACGACACTTAATTTTTTTTATTTGCTTCCTTAAATAGAAATAACATTAGTAAACATTGCCTTAATAACCATTTTTTCCAAGAAACATTACCAAATAAATTTGGTAGACAAAATACAATCCAATTTAATCATCATCAATAATGGATACTTTATGTGAATCTAATAAATACAATCCAAACTTTTTCTTCTCAAACAACATAGAGATTGTCACAACCGAAACAAATTTTTTTTTTTTCATCATGTGATTGAAATAGGGTGAAAAAAACGTTTCTTAATAGTGCTTCCTAATTTGATTTTGTGTTATTTTTTTAGATTGGAACTCTTGAGTCATTAAAAATGACTTTAAGAATTGGTTATTGTTGGAAAAATATATAAAAATTCTGCTTGATTAACAAACTGAGATAGATATGAGAAGATAAAAGCAGAATAAAAATAGAGAAAGAATTGAACCAAGGTGCGGAAGTCAATTCACTGTCCTTAAGAAACGATTTCGCCCCACTTGGTGCAAATAGTTGCTAGCGGTCGTTTTTCAAGATATAATGGCGAGTCCTGATGGTGTGCACTCATTAAGTAAGACTTGAACTCGTCTAAGAAATAGCCCAAAAAAGCAAAGAAATTCTGTGGGAAAAACAAAGAAGAAGAGATAATTTTTTTCTATATTACTAAACTACTAGTAAAACGTATATATATAATTCCAAGTCTGAAAGTAAGGTAAGAATTAATAAGGATTTGATCAAACAAATCTCTTGAATTATGAATAAGTCAAATCCCTTGAATTATGAAATGGCTAGTTAATTCCTTAATCATAGTTAATTACAAAAGGAAATGAATCTTACATAAAATCAAGTCCAACCCACATGCATGTATATATATACTACCATATCACCAATGCTATGCACGAGATTAGATTTAAAAAAATTATTTATGATTATGTGAAACATATTTTTAAATTGTTAGTATAAAATATACATAATTTTGAAAGAAAATGTTGACATTTCATAATTGAAGTAACAAAAATAAAAATTTGTAACATTAATTCGAAATTGATCGAATAAATAAAATATATTATAACTAAATTAAATTGTTGTGGGTCTTCTATCAGCATTCATGTTTTGTCAACATAATAGTTAGTATTTTAATTATAGCGATTTTGGTTTAGACCCGACCTGTTCTGTATTCTGAACTCGGGTTTTATGGTTTCATATTGTTGCTCATGTCTTGTTTCCCTTGTACATCCTTAAATTTGGTTATTGGATTGTAATGGTTGTGTTTGGAACAGGTTAGTTGCTTAGTTTTCAAACCTTTGTTGCCCAGAATTTTGCTCCTCCGCTCGAGCGGCACTTCTTGCGCTTAAGCAGGGTTTGAGAACTCTCAGTACTTTTGCAGGTCTGCAAAACTACTAGGAGAGTATATTCCGAGCTCGAGCGGCCTTTCTTGTGCTTAAGAGTTGGTCAATTGTCTGCAAAACTACTAAGAGTGTGCATTCTGCGCTCGAGCGTCGTTTCTTGCGCTCTAGCGGAACAACGTATTGTATCTGATGCTCGAGTATCATTTCTTGAGCTCGAGTGGACTGTGTGTATTTCAGTCCGTAAAAGTGACATTTTACATCACTTTTTCATATCTCTCTCTCTACTTTTCAAAAATCCTAAATCTAGAGCCTTTCTCTCTAAAACCTACATTCTCTCTACATTTTCACCTAGATTCATTGGGTTCTCTACCCGTGTGCCTTTGTTAAAAAGGTAGAGCATCTCAAGGGCTACGTTTTCATCCGAATGGAGTTGCGTTTGAGCATCTTTGAAGTTCCTCCTTGCTTTGGTCGACTTCTAGCCTTGAGGTAGGGACTTTCTACACTCTTCTATGAGTTTTAACTTAGTATTTGTTGATGTGTAAGAAATATTGGAGCTTGGGGTGATTTTGAGCAAACCTAGGGTTGTGGTTTAAAATCAAAAGAGAGGTTTTCAAATGTATGTGTTAAAATTGGTTATGGGAGTAAATGTGAGGTTGTATTGTGATAAATTCGTTGATTTTAATACCTAGGGTGGATTTCGAAAGAAAAGGGAATTTTGCCCTAAGTGTCTCAAATAGTTATTTTGTATAAAGACATGAAATTGGTATTGGGGATATGAAGTTGGGTGGATGTTTATATAAATTGTGGAGTTTGATATGTATTACCTCTCGCTTATGGAAATTTAGGTAATTTATCTGTCTTCGAGATTGTATATCTTTTTAGAAATATCTATTTTGGGCTATCGGTGGAGGATAGTTATGATTGTTGTAGAAATTGCATGAGGATTAGATGAATTGAAACTAATATCTTATTTGTTGTCATTGAATATGACTATGTTTGTAAGACATTGTAAATGTATGATATTTGGGAGAAGAAATGGGATGTACTCCATGTTTGGGAGAAGAAAGAGGATAGACTCCATTGAATTAAGTTGGTTTGTGTGTCTAGAGTGAAAGTCCCGAAAATTGTATGTATATACGGGTGTCGGTTTCTGCGGACGAAATATTCGTAAAATGGCAAATGGAAGTGTTGTATGATGGTTGTGTTGGTTAGAAACACATTGAGTTGTACCCTTAATTTGGTTGTTTGAACAAATTGGTGAATGACTCATGAAATGAAATGAAATGAAATGGTGAATGACTCACGAATTAAGATAACATGAATTGAGATATAAAGCATGGCATGACATGATTTTGTAAAAGAGTTATAAATGATCTTATCATGGGCATTGGATATGCATATCATACTGATAGTTTTGTTAAGATTCATATATTGTGTTAGATTGTTTCTACTGGACTTTGGCTCACCCTATTTGGGAAAAACCATTTTCAGGTGTTGAAGATATGACATAAATTGGGTGCATTGGCAACTATTGGCGCAGTTAGTAAAATTCATGACACATCAATATTGTAAAATATTTATAATATTAAGAATGTCACTTAAAATACACAAAAGAAAAAAAAAATGACACTTAGTTTTTTTTATTTGCTTCCTTAAATAGAAATACCATTAGTAAACATTGCCTTAATAATCATTTTTTCCAAGAAACATTACCAAATAAATTTGATAGAAAAAATACAATCGAATCATCATCAATAATAAATACTTCATGGGAATCTAATAAATACAATCCAATTTTTTTTCTTCCCAAACAATACAGAGATTGTCACAACCGAAACAAATTTTTTTTTTCCTCATCATGTGATTGAAATAGATTGTAAAAAAACATTTCTTAATAGTGCTTTCTAATTTGATTTTGTGTCATTTTTTTTAGATTGGAACTCTTGAGGTATCACACCCCGTATTTTATTACTCGGATAACATTACCAATATTCATTAATTAAGTCCATTTACAAATAACATTTCATCCTTGGATGAAATGATGAATAATTAAAAATACATATTCCCTCTCGTTATACAACAATGACAGTTACATACAAATAAAAGAAATGCCCTGAGGCTTACAATAAAAAAGAGGACACTACTCTTTACAAAAAAAGAAAGCACTCAGCTAAACAACAGATGAAGTAGTATAATCCCTCGCTACATTACACTCATGAAATGGTAAAACCCATTGTTTGATCTTCAAATCCGAAAAGCAT